ATACAGTTTCATGGTATTTTGAAGGCAGATGAAAGCAAAATATGCTTTGCAGCAAGAGACACATAAATGAAGTTACCAGCACCAAACCCAAACCAAGCTTTCTTTTCACACACAACACTGTCAGAGAAAGCAAGCACAATAGGTGCCTATGCATTAGTTGGTCTCCTCTGTGAGCTTAAGGAGTAGTTTAATTTCAATGGTTTAAAATGCTCGTTTTAGACAGCTAAAGGCATGAAGATCTTACCTTAAGTGACCATATGTAGGTTAGATACAGAAAAATTAGCCCAACTCTGATTTGTCTTTGAACATTTATGCCACCTGTTCGGAAAAACTAAGGCACTTCATAGCAATTTTAGAGCTCTTAAGAAATATTTGAGCACTACACATGGCAATCCTTGCCTGAAGTTTTCTGTTTACCACTTATCTGTATTATTGACCCAAATTCAACCCCAACACCTAGTTTTAAGCCTCCCCCATTACACACGCCTTCTCCATCCTCAGATTACAGCTTGACAAATATTTTAAGTGCTGATACTGGGCACACTTGGTGATAAATATTTTTTCAGTATCACACATAATATCAGTTTATTTTGACTGAATTTCATTTTAGGTAATGAACAATTAAGACAACCAACACTGAGCTCATTGGGCATCATTTTCTAACAAGTTAAAATAAGAAGCCCCCCGAATATAGAAATAACTGCTTTTCTCATTTTTTTTTACAGTAAGCAGGATAATTATGGAGATGGGTTTAGGGCAACTCCACTGAATCCTGAAATCTTTTAAGATAACAGTTTGAAGTTGAAAATACTGAGTTTTTCACAATCAAACCACTTCAGTCAACAAAATCTTACCTACAGGCACCTGAAACAGAAAAAACTCCGTATCCAATCACCTAACTGAAAGGTTGATTCTTGAGATACATTTTTATTAAAAAAATAATAGTGTATGAATCAGTTCTATTTCTATAAAGAAAACAGTCAATACACCCACACAAGTGTAAGAGCCAAAGGACTCATTCAGATGACATTTAAGCTTAGGGAAGCATCTAACAGATGACAGGTTTCATTCCCTGCCCAGTAGCAATCAGTCCTTATTGGCCTGTCTTGTCTGTTCTTGCCTGTTCTACAGGCCTACCGTATTTTCATTGCATATGCCCGTTTGAGAAGTAAGAATTTAGTGAGCACATGCTGAGCAGATGGGTAAGGTAATTCTGTGCTCTTTCCGACAATACTTAAAAGAAGCGGCCTGCTCCTCTTCCTATCAAAGGAGCTAGCCACAAACCCTGCTGTTCACCTCTTCCAATGGGCACTATTCCCCCTGCTCCCATTTGTTACATTACAAAACCCTAGACTGCGAGGAAGGAGGACAGATGAAATACGAGTGCTGCTACCAGAACCATTCTTCAGGAAATCCACTTTCAGGAGTTCCACTGCAAAGAGAACCAATAGAAACAGGCCAAGAACTGTCTTAATTGTACTATTAAGCAACACTGGGCTACCAGACCTTTGGCTCAGCAGCCTAACCTAGGCAAAAGGGCAGAAGAGAACAATTTTCCCTGTGTATCAGATCCAGCTGGGTTAACTTTTTAAGAGCAACATACTCAACACAGTGATCCCACATGCTCTGTAGGAGAGTTCACACATTCAAAGCCAAGTTTTCTTCCAAGACAAAGTTCAGAGGGGCTTTCTTTCCACAGCATTATTGCTATCCACACAGCTGAGACATTCAGCTTTATCAGCATGGCAAGCTTTAACTAAACCATTGATTTTGACAGTCAGAAAGTTTACCCCAGTAGGCTGACAAGACCCTCTCCCCTATTAAAAAACACCAGATCTCACGACTAGAAAAGAAAAATCTAATGCACATTACAGAATAACACAGCTTATCAATACATAAGAAAATGTGTATGTCTAGCAGTTACGGCCAGAAGTTAACCGCAGAATACAAGCATGAGTAGTCCCATCAGTCACACTATACTGTATCTAATTTTAGACCACCTGCATATGTTCACTGCCTTCCCAAGAAACAAGACTGAACAGCAGTTAAAAGCCACGTGGACAGCAATGAAACCATTGGAAATGCTTAAGTCCTTGCTGCTGCTGTTCTGCCTAAACACTAAATCCTTCACTCCCCACCCCCAAAGAGCACTAAACAGAATTAGGAACTGTTCCGCTACCATAATGTCATGAATAATGTTCCAAAGGGAGAGAAGGAAAAAAACAGCCCACACTGCTATTTCTGCCCTATAACTTCTGGCAGATCCAAACCTAACAGCGAGATCTCGCCTTACAAGGCACTGTATACATGCCCACACATGAGTATATAAATCCTCTACTATCTATACAAAGAAATACATGCACATGTATACACCCCACAGGCCTTCCTCAGTCATTTCAAAAAAAATTTCAAGTCCCCAAGGACCTCTCACATCCCAGAACTAGCTTTCTGCGTAATTTTTCATTGCTCCTGATGAGAAATTAAGACAGCAATAGCATGATTTTTCTTGCTGATGTTAGAACCTCCACTGTCCATTTCAGAGCAGCCAATTGAATTAGCATGAATCACCACCCTTAGGTGGTACGTTTCCATTTTTGTATGCTTTGTGAATAGAAAATGGTAGTTTCTAAATCCATTCCAAGAAGTCACTTTCACATACTGAGGAAGCTCCAAAGCAAATCAGGATTAAAAAAAGAACACTGAAATTCAAACAAAAGCACAACAGTATTTCGTGTATAATCATACTCTCAAGTAAATTTAGAAAAGAGTACTCATTAGAAAACAATACCTAATAGGTCCAGCATTCGCTACACAAAGTTTGTTGTAGTGTGTAACATCTCAACCTAGCATGCTTTTCAAGCCTCAGTACACATCCATGAAAATAACCTGCTTTATTACCAAAGAACTATAGTCAAATCTCCGCCCTGGAGGAATCCCAGGTATCTGAATGTGCATGGCTACTTCCGTGAGATTAGTATAAAGTTTTACCTCATCAGTACTCTACTAGCCACGTACCTGCTGCACTGAACAAAACTCCTAAGACTGCTTTGCGAAGAAAACAAGGTATCAACAGATTACAGTGGGGAATTCCAGGACTTGAGTTTATCCTCACACATCTTGCAAGCTTATTATACCAGTATGTAAAGCATATGCTTAAGGAAAGACAATTTCTCTGTGCTCCATCCCATACAGAACGATTACACCAACGTGGAACCCAGAACTGCTCAGTAAGGGATATCTGGGAATGCAAAGGTGAATGAACAGTTGCATATACAGCTGCAGAAAACTGCTCTTACCCTTCACCTAATACTTACTGTTGACTCCCACATCCTCAGCTACTCCAGAACCTCTCATTCTCAGGTATGTGAATCCCAGTATCAGAAAGAACAAGCATGCAGCAGTTAAGAGGAACATGGACAGGTAATGTGCACTGAAGCCTCCAGTGGTTGATACCTCCTCTCTTTTGAACTGTTGGAGAAGCTCCTCTTCGGGCTCGGAGAGATTCTTCTTATAAGTGTTTTTCAGGTAGGTATGATTTGAACCCGTATGATTGGAGTGGTTGAGTCTAAGGGAGGAGGTGTTTCCACCCGAGGGAAGGCTATTAGTAGCTGAATAGATCCTGGAGTCGACATTATAGCTACCAGCAGCACCGCTGAGAACATGATTATTGGTCGCTTTCTTAACGGTGCCTGGAGGGTCAGCGATTTTACTGCTGTCCACGTCCGTAAGCGGTGACGGCAACAATACCGTAGGGGATTTCTTGGCCAGGCCAATGCGGTATCTGAGGCTGGGAGGACTAGAGTCCAGATTTTCACATCCTCCCCCCGCCGCCGCCGCCGCCTCCTCCTCATTTCTGCCCCTGTCTAGAATCCCGGCGCGCGC